AGGGATTGTAAGCTGGCCAAAGGAGGAGATACAGACCACAGATGTTAAGACACGAAAGCTCCTGACCATGCATGGAGGGTTCCATCCCAAATCCAGCACCCTGAGACTGTACGCAGGCCGGAAGGAAGGGGGCCGAGGACTAGTGAGTGTGGGAACCACTGTCCAGGATGAAACATCCAAGCTCCTTGAGTACATCAAGGACAAGGCCCCGGCAGATGAGGTGCTCAGAGAATGTCTCAGACAGTGGGGTCCAGAGGAAGAGGTGCTGGAGGGACCATCATGGCAGGACAAACCCCTACATGGGGCGTACCACCGGAACATAACTGAAGTGGCTGATATCAAGAAATCCTACCAATGGCTTGAGAGGGCTGGTCTGAAGGACAGCACAGAGGCACTGATCCTGGCTGCTCAGGAGCAGGCCCTGGGCACTCGAGCAATAGAGGCCCAGATCTACCACACCAGACAAGAGCCCACGGTGTAGACTGTGCAAAGAGGCTCCTGAGACAGTCCAGCACATAACTGCGGGGTGTAAGATGCTGGCAGGGAAAGCATACATGGAGCGACATAACCAAGTGGCGGGCATAGTGTACAGAAACATCTGTGCAGAGTACGGGCTGGAGACCCCAGGATCAAGGTGGGAAACACCTCCAAAGGTTGTGGAGAATGACCGAGCCAAGATCCTGTGGGACTTCCAGATACAGACTGACAGAATGGTGATGGCGAACCAACCAGACATAGTGGTGGTGGATAAGAAACAGAGCAGAGCCGTGGTGGTTGACATCGCAATACCAAGCGATGGTAATATCAGGAAAAAGGAACACGAGAAGCTAGAGAAATACCAGGGGCTCAAGGAAGAGCTGGAGAGAGCCTGGAAAGTAAAGGCATCAGTGGTGCCTGTGGTGATCGGAGCACTCGGGGCTGTAACCCCCAAACTAGAAGAGTGGCTACAACAGATACCGGGAAAAACAACGGACATCTCAGTCCAGAAAAGTGCAGTACTGGGAACAGCAAAGATACTGCGCAGAACTCTCAAGCTCCCAGGCCTCTGGTAGAGGACCCGAGCTCAATGAGGGTGAGAGACCAACCACCGTGGAAGGTGAGAAACACATTTTTTTTTTTATATATATAGATATAGATATAGATATAGATATAGATATTATGATTATTGTTATTTTTGTAAAGCAGTATCCAACCTAATTTGATCCCAAAGGGGCCGGAAAAAAAAAGAAGAAAAGGTATATAAACCCCAAAAATAGCAATATTTGTGCAGAGAAACACAACTCTATTACAGAAATCCTTTTTAATTGCTGAACTCTTTCTTTTACAAAATATTATAATATTATGAACAACCTGAAACTTTAAGAAAAATGCAATTTCAACATGAACTTGTATGTAAACAGGAATAAGACCTTTTTTTTTTGTTTGTTTTGTTGTAAAATCCTGCACTCAGCGTCCACTTTTCTCATGTTGGACATTTTTCTGATGAGGGTGTCACGGTCAACAGTCAAAACGATCGTCCTTTAAGAGCGTTTGGAAAGAGACAAGTCTTCATTTGTGCTGCTCTGGTGGGAGGGGCCACGTACAGAGACGCTGGAGACACTGCTCTGCTCAGCACCGCAGAAAATTAACAAGATTTTAATAGAAAATATAATTCAAATATTTTAGTAGAAAATCAGCCGAGGGCCAGATTAAAGGTCTTGGAGGGCCGGATCCGGCCCCCGGGCCGTATGTTTGACACCCCTGGTCTGTATGTCTATATGTTCTATAAAAAAATAAAGCTGGATTGGAGTTGAAAGTTCTGTTTTTCGTATTTTTAAGACAGTAAAAATCAGGCACAGCGCCTTTTGATTTTTGATGATGAATTTATTCTGTTGACCTCTGTTATATTTTTGTAAAAAATTAAAAAACAAGCGTAGATGCATGGGATTGTGCAGCACCTTTAATGGTTTTACAGCAGAATTGACAGCGTCAGGGTGACAAACAGACAAAAAATATCAGAGTTTAGAAGCATCTAGCTGAGTTTTTTGAAAGTGAGAGGATTCTCAGAGTCTACAAAACCTTTGTATTGTCCAATTATAAATGTTGTTTTTTAGCTGATACCTGCAGTTTGTATCATAAAACAGACCAGACCATCCAAGGCCACTGAAGAGAACATTTTACACATTAACTGTAGCAAACATTTAGTATGAAATAAGTACAATACGATTATTGTTCACAAATCCCCAATGACTAAATCCTATATCATTATTAGATCATCAACATGGTTTACACTTCAAATATGTGTGAGTGTGTGTGTCCGTGCGGGGGTGTGTGTGTGTTTGTGTGTTTGTGTATGTGTATTCTTGTGTGTGTGTGTGTTTGTGTGTGTGCGAGGGGGGTGACCACATAATGAGCTTGTTATCATTAGCCTGAGTGGTCAGTGTGACGGAGCCATCGACTGACCGCTCCAGAGGTGAACCATCCACAGGAGACAAATATCCTCTGGTCAATATCCTCCATCTGCAGCTGCCTCATATCCTGCCTCACTCTACATGTCTCACTCTACACGTCTCACTCTGCATGTCTCACTCTACATGTCTCACTCTACATGTCTCACTCTACATGTCTCACTCTGCATGTCTCACTCTACATGTCTCACTCTACATGTCTCACTCTGCATGTCTCACTCTACATGTCTCACTCTACATGTCTCACTCTACATGTCTCACTCTGCATGTCTCACTCCACTCTTCTGTCCTCTACACGTCTCACTCTACACGTCTCACTCTACATGTCTCACTCTACATGTCTCACTCTGCATGTCTCACTCCACTCTTCTGTCCTCTACACGTCTCACTCTACACGTCTCACTCTACATGTCTCACTCTGCATGTCTCACTCCACTCTTCTGTCCTCTACACGTCTCACTCTACACGTCTCACTCTACATGTCTCACTCTACATGTCTCACTCTACACGTCTCGCTCTACACGTCTCACTCTGCATGTCTCACTCCACTCTTCTGTCCTCTACATGTCTCACTCTACATGTCTCACTCTGCATGTCTCACTCCACTCTTCTGTCCTCTACATGTCTCATACTGTTCAGAGATGCACTATCAATAGCACAAGCAGGGAGGTCCATCTGTGGAGGTCCACCTGTGGAGGTCCACCTGTGGAGGTCCATCTGTGGAGACATGGTAGAGCCCACTTTGAGTAGAGGTCTTTGAGTGAAAGAGGCAAAGTACATAGAGGTGGTGGACACATGCAGGAGCCAGGGCTGACAGGCTCTCTGCAGCTCCATTCAGGTTGGGTGAATAGGGTTTGGGGGCTGTGTGTCTGTCGAGGCTGTAGACTGTCTACAGAACAGGAGAGCCGCCTGAAAAACCATCACAATGACAGTGGAGCACAGACACTGCACTGATCGCCCACACTGATCACAGGAACATCACTGAGGATGTGTCTGGAGCTGCACCAATAAATGTGTCTTATAACCTGCCTCACTCTCTGCCTCACCCTCTGTCTCACCCTCTGTCTCACCCTCTGCCTCACCCTCTGCCTCACCCTCTGCCTCACCCTCTGTCTCACTCTTCTGTCTTATTTTAAATAAATACAAGATGAAAGTATAATGCCATACTGTGGAAAATTTCAGGCAAAGCATTAACAATAACTGAAAATATATTTGGCCTATTAACTAAAGTGGATGTGAAGTTTGAGCTGATTCTTTTGTTTTCATTTTGTTTGTCACAAACACACCTGGACTTGTGTTTTGTTTTATTCACATGTTTAACACATAAATCCTGCACATTTAGTTTGAGCTCTTCTCTCAGACACAAAACACTCTGCTGCACCTCGTGATGACATGTCATAATACAGGAAGTGCTCCAATCTGTTCTTGAATTCCATACACCTTCAGTAGAATCATTTGGATGATTTCAGTTCTGGATTTACCAGTCTACTGAACAAAAGGTAAAAGGAGCTGTTAACTTGAAAGCTTCACTACAGACAGATTACTCTGAAAATACTAAAGTTATTTAAAAGAAGCAACAAAAAAACTCTATTGTCAAATCCATGTGTGTTTCTCATGCAGTGGTGACTCGTGTCAGGACAGAGGAGACTCACACTGTTTGTGAGAACAGTCTTTCATCTGCCACAAGGGGGCGCTGTGTCCCGTGAGTCACTTCTTCACGCGCCCAGAGCGTAAGGGCACGTGCGTCCGTCTCGGTTTAGAGCCTGTTAAAGTCAAATTAAAATGAACAGTACTAGTGTGTAGCCTGCTCTGACAGTTTGAAAACGGACATTATAATGACAGCTGAACCAGACACGTTCAAACACTGTTCTGTAGTTTTCCAACTCATTTAGCTGCGTGTCCAGCACCGGACGCTTCAGCACTTCTCTGATGAAGCATCCTTTCAAACACGCGTCTGTGCACACGGCACGGTCAGTCCTGATGGTGCGCTCCATGCCCAGTGACACCCACTCATGATTAAAGCAGATTCTGAAGATCTGGAGATGTGTATAAAGGTGACTGGAATGACTTCGAAATGAAAACCAAAGAGTGTGGGCGTAAAACATGCGCAAAGCGAACACATGGTCCTATAACTGACCATAAGCTTCATTATTTGTCATTATTTCAATAGAGAGGTAAAGGTTTACCGCGTTACACACTCACTCACAGCTTTCTTTTCTCTAAACTTGAAACACACCGTTCGCGCGCACAGGCAGAGGTGAATGAAGTGTGTGCGTAAAGGTCGCGCGCGCCTCGGACCTTCTCGAGGTCCGTCTGAATTGGTGCCATTACGCGCACGCGCACCATTGTGACGTGGTGACGTGGTGGCGCGCGGAGCCTCGGGTCTCTGCGCGCGGACACTTGTTGCCAAAAACAGCTCGAGACAGTCGCGCGCGCACCACATCCCAGACCGGACTGGACCAACAGGGACCCACACACATCCTTGGACCTGAAGGAGGACTGCGCCCCCCCGGGACTAACCGAGGACTATCCCAGGACTAAGCTCACAGCAGGATGGTGGATAACACCAGCGTGGCCAACTCCGCTTTGGTAAGAACCGCTCCGCGCGCTGTGTCCGCGCGCCCTGTCCCGCTCTCGCGGTAGATCGGTGAATGTAGCTGCGCGCCGGGACGCTCTGGTGACTCCGCCGTGGCTCCTGTCCGCGCTCATCTCGGCTTTTTAAAGAGTATTGTTTCCTCTCGCGCGGGTTTGAAAGGTTTTCACGCACAACGGAAGTGCTTTACGCGCGTCACTTTTGGATGTTAATTAAACTTATCTGATGTCCGAGACAGAAAAGTCTGATACAAATTTGTTTACAACATTAACTGGATGTTGATCTAAGCGCAGGTTTAGAACTGTACAAGTTATAAAAAGATGAAATGAAGTAACTTTTGTGCCATTATCATGAAGCACACACGCTCTGACAGTCCGCTCTGTGTCCGCAGTCCGGAGCCTTCTCCAGCGGTAGCCTCCTGTCCCCAGTCCCTATCCAGAGCTCAGCGGTGGCCCATAGCGGGCCCTCCGGCCCGGGGCCCGGCTCTGGCCCACAGCCCGGGGGTCCGCAGCCAGGGGGCCCGCAGCCCGGGGGCATGCGGTTGGAGGCGGTGATGGAGAACTTGCAGCGGCAGCAGGCGGCGCGGCTGCGGCAGGCGGAGAAGGAGCTTCAGAGTCAGCTCCAGCACCAGGCGCTGCTGCGGCACTATCAGGCGGCGGTGCGCTTCAGCCCGGGGCTCACACCGGGGCTCACACCGGGGCTCACAGCTGGACTGACACCGGGGCTGGCCCTTGGGCTGCGTGCAGACTCTCGAGCCAGCAGCGAGGATCGGGACGCGGAGGACTCGGAGGAGGACGAGCAGTTGGAGGAAGAGGAGCGCTTCCCGCCGCAGAGCCTCAGCCGCGGGCCGCTCATCAGCAGAGTCCCGCCAGGGCTTGGACCGGCCCGCTCCATGCGCCCCGAGTCCCCGCAGAACGCCAACCACGAGTGGACCTACGAGGAGCAATTCAAGCAGGTAGACACGCGCTCTGCTCAGACGCCTGACACATGTGCCGGGTACGGGGTGACAGCGCGCGCACAGTGTGTCAGTCCTTCTCTGTACCAAGCGCACGCGACTGTGCCAGGCGCACGCGACTGTGCCAGGCGCACGGGACTGTGCCAGGCGCACGGGACTGTGCCAGGCGCACCAAGTTTTAGGCCCACAGTTCCTCCGTGCTTTGGAGCGCATGTGTAAACTCCGTAGATTTTGTGAGACAGAGACACAAGAACATGTGAGTCTGATGTCTCTCTCTCTCACACACGCACACACACAGCACACACACACCTGTGATGATTCTTATTATTTAAAGAACAAATACTACACACTCTCGTGCACGTGGAGCGTGCTGCTGCTTTTACATCAACATTAAACATTCCAAAATAAACACTCTTTGGTAAAGTTAAAATGAAAAATCAGTTGTTACAAAGTCATTATTAACATTTTTCTTTAACATTCTATAACTGTACATTGTGTTCATCATCATAATTGAAGACATTTTCAAATCTGTATCAGATGTATCTTTCACTTCTGTAATAAGCGCCGCTGCAGCTGTTTGAACTCACTGTTACTATACGGCCACGTCCTTTTTGCTCTTACCAAATTCCTCTGTCCGTGTGCAGATGTGTTCAGACACAATTCCAGCAAACACAAACTGGACAACTGAAAAAAGAGCAGAAAAAAAAAAAAAAAAAAAAGTCAGATGCCCTCACAGCGACGCATGCATCCAGACACTGCAGTAAGACTCACGGTTTAACTGCAGACCTTTCAGGTCAGAGCTCTCTGTTCTTTCAGAAAATGTAACAATTCTGAAATTGACACCACAAATATTTGGTGATTTTTCTAAATGAAAATTCACATAATGTTTAAAAGTAATTCCTAGCATAAGATTCTGCTCATTTCTTCTTTTTTCACACTGTTTGCTCAGAGATGACATCGTGGACAGGGCTGAATGATTTTGTTAGAAATATATCTAGATTTTTATGTATTAATAATGCAATTCTGTTCAAAATTCACAATATAAACATTTCCAGAAAAATTCACAAAAAGACTGAAATCTGAACTGATAAACTAAAAGAAGAATCCCATTTTAGTACATATTTGTACAGATTTAAACTACAGGGCCAGACGTTTTTATGCACAATAACACAAGAGATTTTTCAGTTTATGGAGGAAATGATGATAGTGTGTTTGTGATTTGAAAGTTGTATCTGAGTAAATTGTGATTTGAATCTGACTGCGATTCATCTCACAGCTCGAACAATGAACAAATCTGAAATGTTGCAAAATTTTCATTTTTCCTCTGGTTTAAAAACTGATTTTGACTCGATACTTGGACTATTTATATAATAAATATATTTAATTGACTTTAACATACACTTTACCCAATCCTCCTGTGCAAACTTTTACCTCATATTTCCTCAGTTACTTCAGCTTTGGAATTAGAGAATTTATTAAGCACAGAGACCCGAGGTTAGATTCCTACTACAGTTTGTATGTTTTCCCCAAGCCTGTGGAGCTGTCCTCCGTGAGCTCTGCATCCTCCTTCCACTTGAAACATCAGTTCAGGCATCAGGACTCTGAAAAACTGTTTCTTAATTTCAGAATTATCAAATGTTCAGCTGATTCTGGTTAAATGAATGGCAAAATGTAAAAAAAAAAAAAAAAAAAAAAAAAAGCGTCTTGTGTTGAGCATTACACATCTGTGCACGCTGTGTGCGTGTGCGTGTGCGTGTGTGTGTATGTGCGTGTGTGTGTGTGTGCGTGCATGCTTGTGTGTGTGTGTGTGTGTGTGTGTGGATGTGACGAAGAGAGAGAAATGGAATTGTTGGTATAATTTTGTACTGATGACTAGACTTTATTTAATTCTTACTGTTATTAAGTGTAGCACAAAACACATTTATATCACCCTGTTACTTTCACCAAACAATGTATTAACCTGAAGTGAAGTTTCCCTTTTGTTTTGGACGCTCTGAATCTGTTAAGTCACTCCCCCTTCAGAGCACTATCACTACACAATCAGCGTGCATCCCACATGAGGTTTGTCACGTTGCTGTGTGCAGTTTTATGTGATGTGTTTGTATATTTATGGAGAGTGTGTGTGTGCGTGGGAGCGTGTGTGACATAGGTTTGTGGGTGGAGTTAGAATCTGATCTAACTGTAAGGAGGGTTTGAACATGGCCCGGGAGAGATCACTAGATTACTCAGACATGCATGGATGAAATGTAAAACATCTTCAGGCCCCTGTTTAATTGTCCTTATTAAAGCAGAGAGACTGTGGTCTTAATGACCAAAGAGTTTACGGAGAATGCTCGTGATGAAAGAAAGGCACCGGAGCTGCGTTTTCACTCTTAAAACATGATGTGCTTTTATCAGCGCAGGGGCAGTGCACCACAACACCACACAATACAACCTAAAACAAACCCAAGACCAAAGCCACAAGAGAGATGCTGCTGCAGGTGTCAGTGTGAGATGAAGCTCACGTGTGCCTCAACTCCTTCAAATACACTTCGTTCTTTTGAAATGATTTGCACTGGCCCAAAATTCTTCTTCATTTTCCTGATGCATTCTGAGCAGCCTGATTATTGGAGACTCAGAATGAATCATTTGTTTTCAAATGACGGTAAACAACTAGCATGCTACCATGCACTTCCTGACAATAAAACACTTTTCTTTGACCTCAAGCTGATACAGTATATTTGTACAGGCCGAGACACATTCTGCTCAAATACAGGGAACAAAAGTTGTTATGCACTGGAGATGCTCAGAAAATGTTCACCTACCCCCTATCCCCGCCCACTTCCTCTATAATAACCTGCTTTTATTGAAATAACTAAAAGACATCTTCAACTATAAACAAAGGCAGTTCTCCATGTTTGAACAGTTAGTGATCTCATTCCTATTGCTAAGTCTTTTTTTTTTCAGTTTTGTGATTTACAATGAACAAAATGTAAAATAATAATCTATATATGTTATATCTTATTATTATTTATCTTGTTATATTTAGGAGGGATAAAAAGCATAAGATGTCCTGTGTAAAGAGCATAGCAGGCTGGTGGAGGTGAGAGAGAGTGAAATGTGGAGATGAAGACTGTGTCCAAAATGGTGATTAGGATCTGAAAATAACAGGCTGCTTCTTACAATAATCATGGGTCTAAAAGTGACGTAGTGTCTCTGCCACCGCTCTGTGTGTGTGTGTGTTTATGTGTGTGTGTGTGTGTTTATGTGTGTGTGTGTGTGTGCGTGTGTTTGTGTGTGTGTGTGTGTGTTTAAGTGTGTGTGTGTGTTTATGTGTTTGTGTGGATAATGTGTTTGTGCGTTTGTTCACATTAGTCAAAATGTATTGGAGAAATATATACTGTACTTTCTAAAGCACAGTTGTGTTTTAAGTGAGCTGTTTGGGCCGTGGAGCTCCTGGTGAAGTCCTTCACTTGTGTCAGTGCTGACAGTGTCAGGCGCTGGTGATGGTTTATCCATGTGAACTGCACAAGTCCAGAGTTTTATCTATGACACAACAAAACAGGCCAAATGTGAACGGAGCATTTTTTGAGGCTCAGAGAAGACGACCATGTCACAGCTGTGTTTTCATTTATTCCTGCGTGTTTGAGAAATCCTGTATTGCCCTGCAGGCTTGAGTGCTTAGAAAATTCCTGTTTTCACCTACCCCCTATCCCCGCCCATTTCTTTGTACTTATTTGTGCTTCTTTCAAAAATAGAAAGAACATAAAAGTTGTTTTAAATCAATATCATGTTTTATAATAATATAATTAAAAAAGCTTAAAGTTTAGTTTTTACAGATATTTAACAGAATTGTCTTTTTTTTATTACATTATTTTTTGTAAATAAATAAAATAATATTAAATGCTGCCAAATTAGCCCGCAAGTCCATGGAGCTCTTGTACACTTTTTCAGTGTTGTGTAGTTTGTCTGTAAATAGAATTGGCCGTGTGTGTATGTGTCTCTGTTTGTGTGTGTTTGTGTGCATGTGTGTGTGTAACCTGATCCACTCCTGTGCCCCGTGTGTAGCCTACGGGGCCCCTGAGGCTGAGGGCCCCTGACACTCACATAAATGCTTCACAACAACTTCTCAATCAGAGAGACTGCATTTTGGTTTGGCAAAATCAATAACATTTGTTTTTCTGTCTTTTTCTGTGTGTGTGTGTGTGTGTGTGTGTGTGTGTGTGTGTGTGTGTGTGTGTGTGTGTGTGTGTGTGTGTGTGTGTGTGTGTGTGTGTGTGTTAAATCGATCTATTGTGATGTGTTGAACGTGCGTGTGACAAGTAAAGGTTTTTCTAATAGTGACCTGGTTTGGTGGTTTGGTGGGTTGTACCTGTGGTCAGTGTTTATTATAGTTTTACATCAGTTCAGCGACAATTTGTGAGAAAAAAATTTAGAATTAAAGTACAAAAACACAAGAAGTAGTGCTGAGCCTGTGTCATCAACACAGACAGTTTAAACCTTCAGTTAATTTAAAGGTTTTGTTTATTTGCATTAGTCTAATCACAACTATTGTGTCATTTAGACAGATTTTGTCTGTTGTTTACCTTGTGGTTGCTAGGTAACAGTTATCTCTGTACCTCTGTGTACCTCTAGTACCTTTATGTGTGTCACATCTGCTGCAGTGATGTTAATGTTTGAGTGAAATACATAGTCTAACCTGTCCATAAGCTGTATACATAAAAGGACATAACTAAAGTGCTAGTGGTCGTGTTCCATGTAGAAAGTTCGGATGCAGCCTCCTCCAGCTCCTACTCACCCTGACTCCCACTGACTTACACTGGAATATAAGCCTTGTCATTTTGATCTTAAAATGTTCGTATGAACTCACTCTACATGATCGTGGTGTTTTTTGTTTGTTTGTTTGTTTGTTTGTTTGTTTTGTTCTAGGGTTTTTTGTTTTTTTGAGTTTTTTTTTTTTTGCTGTTTTTTCCATCAAATATCCTATTCCTTATTGAGCCTGGCTCCAAATAAGCTGTATT